GAGAGTAAATAAAAAGCCAGAGAACCTGAGCAGGGTAAATGAGAAAGTAGCTACACAGACCCTGCTCAAACAACCCACTACCCCGAGAAGACAATCATATTTAGCTGCTATCATGACATATGGAAGTAATTACAAGCATTGTGGCTATAAAGCCTTTAAGTGGCATGTCAGAAATCCCAAAGCCTTGTGAACAATTACGGATACCAAATAGGCCAACGTGCCTTCATCTCCCCCACAGCTGAGGGAAGCAGTTGCCACAAGCCACCCTGTTGTGACAGCAAATGAATCCTGGAATTTCAGACTGGTTTGGGTTGGACGAGACCTTAAACCTCACCCAGTTATAGCCCCCTGCCACACGCAAGGACACCTTCCACTAGAGCAGGCTGCTCCAAGCCCCATCCAACCTGGCCTTGAACGCTGCCAGGGATGGGGCATGGTGATAAGCACCTTCATCACTGATAAACAGGACTTTGGTATCAAATTATTGCCATCCTCCAGACCCTTCTCCAGGCTCCCCGCACAGCTCAGCCTGGCGCAGGTGGGACACCCATCAATCCCAGGCAGCCAGTTGTCTGTGTGGCTCCTTAATAAGAGCAGAACAGAGCAGTGGGCAGCCAAGTCATCACACCAATTACATCTGCTGTGTCTCAGCAGTCTCGAGAGCCCCAGTAGAACCTCCAGGCGCTGCAGACCGAGATGGATTATCTCTAGGGAGATGTCAATACGCTTCAAAATAAGAATCCTTAATGAGCTGCCCATTACTGCTAACTCAGAGTCTGCACACACAGATACACACATTACATACACGGCTGCTTCATTTCAAGTATCCAGAAGATTCTGAAGCAGGAAAAAAATGAAGACATTTAGCAGTGCCCAGCCTGACTTTAGAAGAAGGGTGAATGCGACATGTTATCAACAGCAGTCTTCATATTAAATCCTGTGATCAAGCCCTAGAAAGGTGCAGCTGCTTCGCTATAGAGAACAATTGCCACTTGTCCCATTATAGAATCACAGAATCCCAGCCTGGTTTGGGTTAAGGGACCTTAAAGCTCATCCTGCTCCAATCCCTGCCACGGGCAGGGACCCCTTCCACTGGAGCAGCTTGCTCCAAGCCCCTGTGTCCAACCTGGCCTTGAGCACTGCCAGGGATGGGGCAGCCACAGCTTCTCTGGGCACCCTGTGCCAGCGCCTCAGCACCCTCACAGGGAAGAGCTTCTATGTAAGGAGGAATGTCAGTGTCGTGGCAGGTAACACCACAACAGTGTGCCCAGGCAGCCAGGACAGGGGCAATGGGAGGATGGGGCATAGAGGCTCCCATCTTCAGAGGTGATTCCTCTTCAGAGGTGAGCCCCACCTGCAAAGGTGTCCAGCACCCACAAGGTGTCTGCTCAAGCAGGAAGCCCCCATCTCAGGGTTGCACTTCCCTGCACGCATCAGATTCACAAATGATCAATTTTATCCAAGGCAAATGCAAAAGAAGCTGAAAAATAACAACAATCCCCAGAGCAAAACTCACACACCAAGCATCAACCTCACCCACACCCGCAGGGCTCTACTGCACTTACTTTTTATGCCTCATCATGCTGAAACACCAGTGAGGAGTCACTTGATTTGTATCTGACCATAGAGTTAACAACATTACAACTGCAACCTCATTATCGATGAAAACCCAAAGCTGGGAGATCTCCATCTTATAACTGGAGCTTGGGATGCCAGAGCGGCTGCCCCACAGCGCTGGGGGTTAGGGCTAGATACTGGGGAGCAGGGAGGGAAGCGGGATTCTGGAGGCGGCTCCGCACAGAGCTGAGGAGAAATCCTGCACAGGGGACACAGCTTGAACTGCACCCCCGAGCTCTGACCACAGAACAGACACAAGGATCAATCAGTACTGAGGGCAAATGCACTCATCCACCCCTCCAGAGACAGCCCCTCCAGCCAAAGCAATCAGCAGAAATGGAGTTCTTCTCCAGGCCCGTTGCAGGGCACGTGAGGCCAGAAGAGAAGCGAGCTTTAGGACCTTCTTCCCGGTTATTTTGTTAGTGTCTGTGGAGGTTCGGTACCTTTGGGTCACCCCATCCTCACCCTGCCAGGCTCCACCGAGCACCAGACTCGGTGCTTTGGAACTGAGCAGGAAAGCAAAGCAAACTGGAAACTGCAACCCACGGAGGTGATTTTACTCCTTTACTTGTTTGTTTAAGCACAAATAAACCACTGCTGTGTGGCCAGCCCGGCCCTTCCACCAGCCTGGGCTCCCTGCGGAACGGGCACGGGAAGACTTTAGGAGGACGGGACAAGGGTTCAGCTCTCCACAGCACAGAGCACACATCCTGCAGCCTCACCCATGGCAGGAGCAGGACCCAGTGCTCCAGCTCCCTTCCGCTCACCTTCCTCACACCTTCCCCGGCTGCAAGAACAAAGCAGCACGGAAGGGGATTAAAACCACACAAACACGCACACCTCAGTGTCTGGATCTTACAGCATTTCTTTGCAGAGATGTGATTTCACCGCTGGCCTTTGAAACGATGCTCACCTCAGGCAAAAATCTGTTTCTCATTACACACCTGCACAACCCCATTTAATTCACTGAGAAAGGTGGATGACAGAATATTGCTGGGTGTTGCAAGGCGAGCACAAGTGTCTTGCCCCCTGGCATTTTGACTGATTACTAAAACCCCGGTAATCTCTGCAGCAAGGCAGAGCTGTGAGCAGCCCAACCAGATAGAATGTGCCTTTATCACCAAACACAACCTCAGAAGTTTCCAGGCGCATTCTGTCTCGTGCATCCCTTCTGAACACATCACAGCTGCGTGACAAAGATGGGTTCCTACACTCTTCTGCTGGAATTTGGCCTGGAGAGACCAAACCATTCACAGGCCCTTCCCCACAGCTCCCAGGCTGCCAGTGCAGCAGAGGCACCAAGGTGAAGAGCAGCAAGATGCCTCCTGTCTTTAGCTACCCCAGGGGAGAAGCCAGATTCCCAAATCCAGGAATAGCCAGAGAAACACCAAACACATAAGAGCAAGCAGAACGACTCAAATCTAGACTGACTTGGGTCCCATCCCAGCTGAGGACAAGCACCCATAACATACCAGACAACGGCTCTGCACATCCCCAGGGCTCAGCTTCCTTCAGATTGTGCTGGTCTGTTCTGACCTCTGACCACCAGGTCCTGACCATCGACCCCTGAACACTCCTAAAGCTGGGAGCACCCAGGTGGGGTGAGCAGAAAGTGATTTCATTAAGGGCAGCTGGGCTGCAAACAGCTCCAACAAGCATCACCTGCCTAGGCAAGGGTAGCAGGAGCCTCTGCTCCAAGCCACCCCTGGGATCTTCCCCTAGATCACAGGCACCATGTTTCAACCCCTTCTGCATTCCCCACAGGGAAATACCGAACCAAAATTAGGTTTGTAGGATCACAGTATTTCCTTACAACTAAAAAAAGCAGCGCAGTGCCATTCCCAGCACGTTCTAGGAACGCCCCAGTCCCCTACACCTCCAGCTCCAGCACAACAGTTTATATTTGGAAGCATCACTCTGTACGGAAGACAGCTTGATCAGTTTATAGCCTGGAAAGCCAAGAGGAAATCTCAGGGCATTGTTCCACCCGGGGAAGAGCCTCTGGGGCTGTGTTGTTATTTACTCTGCACCAGCAGCTTTCACGGGCTGGGTTCTCCATGGGGCTGAGGCTTCGCACCCTGGCGCCATGCAGGATCGGGGTCTTTGGCTCACGAGCAGCCCCATCCCCACGTTCAGAATCCCAAAGCACAGCCCCACGTCCCAGTCCCCAGGACTGCGTGTCCTGGCCTGCAGCAGCTCCCAGCACCCAGGGTCACGTCTGGCTGCACGAGGAGGCCCAACCTGCACAACACCATCACCCTGGAACACAACTCCAGGAGGAGGGAGAGGCGCTTGCCGGGGAGGCAGGGGCTGCCACAGCGCAGCTCCAGAGCTCGTGTTCACCTTATGCATTATTCATCTCCCAATGCTTTAATAAAGTTAAAGGGAGTCTCGCATGCCCTTGCTACCAGGAAATTTCCCTTCGCTTTTACCAATAACGCCTGTGGCTGCTCAAAACCAAAAGCCAGCAGCTGACATCCACTCATCACATCAGGGGCCGCGGGCAGGGGGACACAGCACCCCACTGCAGTTGTTTCTGATTTTCACTTCCCGATTCCCATGCAAATGCCGCGCCGCTCGTCTTGCAAAACCAAGAGCCGAGCACCTAAACCCCGACCGCCCCGACATGGGCTTCATTTCTGTTTTCTCCCGTTTGCTCAGGCCTGCTCCCACCGAAACACCAGGACCTGGGAACACCTCCAGGGAGGGAGCCCCGAAGCTTCCAAGGGCTGGAAGCCGTGTGCGGTGCAGGGAGAGGGGCCCGAGCCGCTGACCCGGGGCCGGGCTCACCGGTTACCCCACGGCACATGTGGCACGGGAGCTCCGGCCCGCGGGGACAGGACGGGACCAAGACCGGCACCGCGTGGCCGGGCTGGGGACAGGGCTGCAGAGCACCCCCGTTAGCGGGGTTTTGGGGGGGGGGGGGGTCTTGGCTTTATTTTCTTTCTCGGTCGTGGTGTAGATTTTTTGCTTATTTTGCTTTTAATCTTCCCGGCCAAAGTCCTGTCCTCGAGGCAACGCCGCGCGCTCCTCCAGCACCCCAAAGCACAACTGCTGCTTCGTTAACCCGCCCCGGAGCCATCCCCATCATCTCCTCCTCTTCGCCCTATTATCTGCTTTTGTTCCGCGATGACTGCGCACAGAACGGGGATGTTTCCCTCTGTCCCGGGGGGTGTGGGGGGGGGTCCCCCGCCCCGGTTCCCACCGCGCTGCCCTCCCCGCTCCCGGCACGACCAGGGGCAACCCTGGGATGCAACGGGGGCCCGGAGCAGCCGGCGTCCCGCGCACCCCCAGAACCCGCTCCCATTCCCCGTCTCACCAAGTTCTGCAAAGAGCAACACCTCGCCCGGGGCAGGGCGCGCTCTGGCCCCGCACCCTCCTACCTGGGACATCTGGGGCCTGAAGTTGATGTCCTTGAGGTCGATGGAGCCGGGGGAGAGGTTGTGCAGCAGCTGGCAGAGCAGGACCCCGTCCCGCAGCGCCTGCGCCAGGTCGAAGACCACGGCCGATGGCCAGACCACCCGGTGGTTGGGGGGCAAAACTTTGCAGTCGATCAGCCAGCGGCCGCACTGCCGCCACTCCTCCATGGCCGCCGCCGTGCTCGCGCTCCGGCCTTCCTCCTCCTCCTCCTCCTGCGGCCGCCGCTCAGGGGCAGCGGGCGGCTGCTCTGCTCCGCGGCACCGCGCTACCGCCCCGCTCCATCGCCGCCCGCCGCCCGAGGAAGCATCGCTCCGCGCCGGGGCTCTGCGGAGGAGGAGGAGGAGGAAGAGGAGGAGGAGGAGGAAGAGGGGCGGCGCGGAGTTTTCCGGCCGAGGGCAGCCCCTGCCCCCGCCGCGGCCCCTCCGCCCCCCGGCTCTACGCGCGCCGCATCCCCCCGGAACAAAGCGGGGGCTCCGGACACGGCACGGACACGGCGGCGCTGCCCCACGCTACGCGCCCCCCGGCCCCGCGGAAACCTGCCCCCGCCCCGGGCAGGCGGGAGGAGCCGCCCGGCCCCACCGCCCCTTTGTCTGCGGGAGCCCGGCCCCGGGGGGGCCCTCCCGCCGCCTTCGCTCTTCTCCCAGTGGGAACTTCCCCCTCGTTCCCCCTTTCCGTGTCCCCTCGCTCCCTCCCGCCGCCGCCCCCCGCTCACGGAAGCCGAGGTGCCGCTGCCGGGGCCCCCCCGTCCCCTGCGGGACCCCGCTGCCCGCACACACAGGACGGGCTTTGTCCGAGCGCGCGGTCCCGGTGTTCCCCCCGTGTTTGGGCTGCAAACACTGCAGGGAGAGGTTTAACCCAGACACGCGGTCGGATTCCTCGAGTTTTAAGCATAAAGACAACTCCCTTGATTAATTACCGGGGTATTTACTAACAGCCTCAACTCCCGGCCATTAGCTCCTTGGCAGCAAACTCCTGAGAAATCTCGGGTTTTCACTGGTGATTTCCACCCAAATCAGTGCCGTTCAGAACAGCCCCTTTGCAAATCTGCTCCGAGTTTGCTTCCGAGATCCTCTCCCCAGAGTTTGCCGATTAATTTCCAGCCCGGCTTCCCAGATCAGCAAAACCGGAAGCCGAGGCTGGGACGAAGGGAAGCTCTTAACCTGGATGTCAAGCAAACGCTGCTCTAATCTCTTCCAAATGGAGCCAAGTGGAGATGAAGAAGAAAGAGTGACTGCCGGCACGAGCCTTCAGTTTCAGCAGAGGAAGGAGGATCCCTCCAAAGAACAAGAAACAATTGTTCAACATTCCCAGCACAGCTCGGCAGGCTGGTTAGTTTGAATAAGACCCTTTTAGCCTGATGTGCTCAACCTGCCTCGGTCGGGTGCATGTGATGCCGAGGGGTGGGATGATCCAAGGAGGAGCAGATCCATACACCCCAGTCTCACAACCAGAACCCCACTGGCCCGGGTGCACTCTGGGGTGACTTCAGGCCCCAGTTCCTGGTATCCCATGGATGTGATTTGATTTCTCAGAATAAGTTTCTCAGTCTTTGAGCTCTTCACAAATCTCAGGTCCCCCCTGGCTCTGCAGCAGCACCCACGGGCAGGAATCACGGGGCTGCCGGGGGGAACTGGCTGACCCTCCACTGATCTGCCCTGAGGGGTCAGGTCCATAGGCAGGGACAAGACGAGATGGGTGAATGCGTGTCAGAGCTGCAGCCTGGCCCTCCCGCTGCCCCATGAGCAGCCCTTGGCCCCTGGACGGAGCAGTGCGCGCAGCTGCGAAGGCGGCCGCTGGGGGAGGCGTTGGAGAAGTCGGGATCTCACCTCCCCTGCAGCAACCACAGCGCTGGTGCAGAAGGGGGGTGGCGGCAGGAAAGGGGTGAACAACCGAAAAGCAGCAGCACGACAAGAGAGGAGCCTGTGCCCGGCACACGCGGCCGTCCCCTGCGAGCCACAGATCACACAAACGTCCTCCTCTGCTGCCCCTTGGCGCTGCTGGGAATGACACGCAGGGAATGACGGACAGGCAGGGAACGGCAGGGAATGACGAACAGCCCGGGCTGAGGCTGCTGCCCCACAGGCAGAGGCGGCAGTACCCTCTGCTGGAGACCCAGTGTAGAGCTTCTCCTTCGCAGTCCAATGTGGAATAGGGAAAACTAGGAAGGAAAGAAGGGGAGGAAGGGAAAGAAGGAAAACTTCCATGCGCGAACATGTGCAAGGTGATTGTACCTCACAAACCAACCACAGCACACGGGCAGCTCTCACAGTAAAGGTATTTTCTGTTGTGTTGCCATCACTCCAGGGAGCAGCCGTGTGAAAACACCCCTCATATACAAGAGCCAGAGCTCAGAACCCCCGTGTCCCGGTGCCAGGGTCTGTGTGTTGCCGTTGCCACCTCCTGGGTTAGACCAAGCCCCAGCCCCTGCTCAGGGCCCAGAGCAGATCCTGCCCCAGCCCCTATCGCCAGCAGCAGCTTCGTGCATCCCCATCACCCTCGGGCCCTGATCTCCTTTCACAGGCTATTTTAGAGACCCGTACAGGTCGCAGCTCGCCGCAGGAGCGGCTCAGCAGTGAGGGACACACTGCGGGGTGCTTTCACCGTCAGCCGCGCACAGGCACCCTGTACGCGCAATGGTTCCCCCTTTGGTCCATCCACTGCTGTGAGCCCGCACCCTGCCTGCCCAGGCAGCTCGAACCCTGGAGCAGTCACTGTGAGGATCCTCCCCTAAGAGCCCCGTGCTCCTGCCAGGAGAGCTCACGAGTTCTCCCCTGCCTCAGGCTCGGGGAGAGCAGGGAAATCACCCTGGCACAGCGCAGTGCATGAGGCATGAACTGGACTCTGTGCTGGTACCGGTGCAGCATCTGCTGCCACTCTTTGTTTAACCTGGATAAAAGCAGTGCCTGAGAGTGCAGCTCCACTGGAAACAGGCTCCCACGGGGTTGGTATGGCCCCGTGTGCTCAATACAAACACCAACACCATCATTCTGCTGCTGGGACACCTCCCTCAGCACCTTCCTCCAACAGCCTCCACCTCAGCATCTTCCTTATCAAAACCAAACCCACCCAAAGCATTTCACAGCCCTAAGGAGCAGATGAGGGGACCTTCACTCAGCCCAGCCCCATACACTGCCACATCTTATAGCAGAGCAAGGCCCAAGCAAAGCAGACAGACACAGGGTTTCCTTGGAGCAGGGAGGAGAGGAACTAACCATTGGCTGGGCAGCACTGGGGTTTCACCTCGTCGATCCACTGCTGCTGCTTCCAGGTCTATGTGGGAAGGGTCCTGCTGCAGATGTCACAGGGACTCCCAACAAAGGGCTCGATGGATGCTCAGAGCTGGCCATTGGCTGTCAGAGGTTTGCCATTCTCAGCCATTCTCCTTGCCTTATCTTGGCAACATCCCCACGTGCTGGCTGCTCCTGTTGTGCCTGGAGCCTGATGGTGACAGAACCGGTCACATCCCCGCCAGAGCCTCACCAGAGCCAGGAAACAAAGTCGGGATCCACCAAACGATTTTGGGTTTTGTTCTGCAGCTCCCACAAGGTGGGGCCGGTACCTGGCGCTGCTGGGATGCGATGGGGCAGCAGCGTCGCGGCTCTTCTGAGAGTCACTGCTCCACTAGCGTGTTCAGGTTTACTTTCTTCTTTCTTCCCTCTTCTTTGTGTTTGGTCTGGGTCTCCTGGGACAGGGAATCGCAGTTTGCCTTCTATCTGATGGAAGAGGATCCCTGCATTGTGGCTGTGCCCATGAAGGCCAAGTGGGACAGCACCAGCACCTCAAGCAGCTCTGACACAATGGGTGCATCAGCCCCTTCACAAGAGATTAGGTGGTGCTGCGCTAACAGGAGATAAGAAGATTGAGGGCTTAAATTTAGCACCATCTGAAAAAGAATAAGCCCCACAGCTCTCTCCAAACCTGTTTCTCACTGTGCCTGGAAAGGACAGGTTGTCCAAGGAAGTTGTGAATACTCTATACCATGGCCTTGAACAGCCTGCTCTAGTGGAAGGTGTCCCAGCCCGTGACAGGGGGTTGGAACTCGATGATCTTAAGGTCCTCTCCAGCCCAAACCATTGTATGATTCTATGGCAGTCGGGCCCAGGACATGCACCAGAGCGATGGTTCATGGGGTACCAGAGATGCTGCTCCATCCCACTCCTCTCCATGCAGGATGGTTGTCCAGGTACCAGCTCACATCAGGGTGTTCCTACCCCCATTGCCTTGCGCAGGGGTGGTCACAGGGTCACATAAGTGAAGGGGTCCAAAGGAGCCACGCACCCTGCAGCACAAGTGGCTGCTGCTCCTGTGACCCGCCAGGAGACTGGGCAGCGATGGGCAGCAATGGGGCAGGGATGGGGCAGGGATGGGCAGTGATGGGCGGTGATGGGCAGGGATGGGGCAGCGATGGGCGGTGATGGGCGGTGATGGGCAGGGATGGGGCAGCGATGGGCAGTGATGGGCGGTGATGGGCAGGGATGGGGCAGCGATGGGGCAGCGATGGGCAGTGATGGGCAGGGATGGGGCAGCGATGGGGCAGGAATGGGCGGTGATGGGCAGGGATGGGGCAGCGATGGGCAGTGATGGGCAGGGATGGGGCAGGAATGGGCGGTGTTGGGGCAGCGATGGGGCAGCGATGGGCGGTGATGGGCGGTGATGGGCAGCGCAGGCACCCGTGGTAACCGCCCCCCTCGGGGTGCTCCATCCCCGCGGCCCCGTCGCCGCCCGCCCCGCCCCTGCCAGGCTCCTCCCGCCGTGATGCGCTCGGGTCGCGCCTCCGCGGCTGCTGCGCCGGGCGGCGGCGGGGCCGGGCCGGGCCGCGGGTTCGCGGTGAGCAGGGGCCGGGGGCCGGGGGGGGCGGGAGCCCCCGGGGGGGGTGCGCGGGGCCGGAGGGAGCGCGCGGGGGGGCGGGGGGGGGTGGTGGTGCCGTGGCGGGGCAGGGACCCGCGGCCAGGCCCTGGCGCGCACCCCCCGGTTGCCGCCCCGGAGCGGAGCCGTCCGGAGGCGCCCGGGTCGGTTCCGGAGCGGGGCGGGGGCAGCGCCGCCTCCCGCATCCCTGCAGGGCCCCCGCCCCTCGGGGCCGGGCGCTGGTGACCTCTCGGCTCTGACCCTCAGGTCTGTCCTGCGGCTTCGGGATCCGGTCTGCAGGGCAGCAAACCCGGTCCAGAGCTGCGGGGAGAGCCCAGCACCGCGTCCAGCACCGCGCCCAGCACCGCGTCCAGCACCGCGTCCAGCACCGCGCCCAGCACCGCAGAGCCGCTGCTGAGCCCATCAAGGTGCTTCATAGACTAACAAGAAGCAGCTCGTGTGCGTGTGGTCCCTTCACCGGGTGAGCCACGCAGCAGCATCACCAGTGGAGCTGCTTTCTGAAGTTCTGTCCCGTTCTGTAAGCCAGGCCAGGCTGTCCCTTGTGCATCCCTGCTCTATCTCCTGAGCGGTGCCAGCACCGAGCGGCAGCTCCTGGGTCCTGGGGATGTTCCCCCTTGAGCCCGAAGCAGCAGCAGTCGACCTGGACCGACGCAGCGGGCTGTATTCCGGAGCTGCCGGGTGGGAGCTGTCCCCGCCGGAGCCGTCCCCGAGCAGATGACTGACACGGTGATGAACGGGAGGGTGCCGCTGCCGGAGAAAGCCTTGTCCGAGGGCTATGCCCGGCTGCGGTACCGGGACACCTCCATGCTCATCTGGCAGCAGCAGCAGCAGAAGCTGGAGTCGGCGCCCCCCAACACGTACCTGAGCCGGAGCCGGAGCATGTGGTACTCGCAGTACGGCAACGAAGCCATCCTGGTGCGGGACAAGAACAAGCTGGATGTGCCCAGGGACACGGGGCAGTCCAAGTTCTGTGCTATTATGTGATCGCTCTGGAGAGCGGCCAGGCTGGCCTCGGGCTGCAGGGATGGGGCTGCAGCACCCGCAGGGCAGACCCGCGCAGGGCAGGCACAGGGCCCAGGCCAGGAACTGTCTGAGGTTTGTGTGTGTTGTCGCTGTTGTAGCATCAGTCTGCACGTCGTGAGGTGTGTGTAAAACCCCGGCCTCAGCCGGAGCTCACAAGCCCGTGTCTGCTGCCTGGTATCTTGGCATGGTTCGTGTTGGACCATGTGCTGTGTGTAAGTGGCTTGGGTATGGTGAGGAGCACCTGCGGTCATCTGGGAGCCATCCCCAGCCAGCACTTCCATCGCTAGTCCATATGGATCGCCAGAGCTCTGCAGGGGCTGGCGGGAGAGACGGGCACGGATCCGCTTCCGTCGAGGCCAGGATTACGGGAAGGTTGATCCGCACAGCTACATGGCCATCACTTGTTCAGTGTGCGCTGCCTCCCTGTAGTTACAGCCTGGAAGTGGTCTCATACATCCAGGAACGAGGTGATTTATTGAGGGGAGGAGGGAAAAGATGTGCTGAGAGTTTCATCTGAGCCTCCAGAACCCCGTCAGGAAAAGCTGCACTGGAGTTTCATGCAAAGGGCCCTCCCTGGAACCACAACTGGGGATCAGACGGGACTTTGGGACTGCTCCCTTCCCGCAGCTCCCCCAGCCCCTGCTTCGGCACCAGCCACCGAGTGGGCACCTGGAAGGGAGGGACAGGCCCAGGAGGCAGCAGGGAGAAAGTGACTGTAAATCCACCCATCTGCTGCAAGGGACACACAGGAACCCCTGCACTGCTCCTGCCCCAGGCGCAGCCGCGGGAGCTGCACTGAGCCTTGGTGCACGCGGCAGCTCGGGAGGGTTCAATTCTGACTGGGGCTGGAGTAGGTTTGGTCGGTTTAAATTGTGTGAGCTGGAGGACTGCAGGAGGGAAGAGTACAACTGCACCGGGGGAGAGGCTGCTTCCAGGCTGCCTCCGTTGGAGCCCGATCCCCAGCTTGCTCAAGGCAAGATCGCACCGAGAAACCCAGCCCAGCACCTACATCTCATTGAGACCAGAGCGGTGCCACTTCCCGGGTGCTGATTACACCAGGGCTCAGCACTGGGGGATAACGCTGGGCTAATCACAGCCTCCCTTTACGCCCTCCCATAGCCCTGTGTGTCAGCCCAGCAGCAGTGGAGCCCAGGCTTCACCTTTAGGCAAATCAGTATTGAATGTTGGCTTCAGTCTGGGCATTTCCTGCCTACAATTAGGCACAGGCATTGTTCTATTTACCTAAAACCTCTTCTGCATTTTGTTTGAGCACTTTATTTATTTATTTATTTTTAACAAGGGGAAGAAGAATCTCTACAATGCACACACAGGGCTGCTGAGCAGAACTTACCTGTTCTAACATGAGATGGTGGAGGTTTGGTGTACTCAGCCCTGAGCCACAGCACGTGGATGCACTGCAAACCAGAGGCAGCTCTTTTGGGGTTCTTAGTGCTGTTTATGCATGTGTTGGTACCTGACGTGTGTGCTCATAAAGCCAGACCTCCACGTGCTCTCACTGCCCTCATGATCCCACCAGCACCAGCCCTGGCTGGGAAGGGCTTTGGTGAATTTTCCAGCCGGGGAAACCCCATTCAATGCAGCTCACGGAAGCAGCGGGATGGGGAGAGCTGCAGGGCCCTGTGCTGGGTGTTCTGTGGAGCACTGCCTGGGGTGTGCAGCCACCCGGCTCCAACCAGTGCCTGGTGCCATTGACACCCATGGACTGAGCCGCAGGGAGCTGCGGGTGAAGGGACCCAGAGCACAGGAGAGGGGGGTTCAGGAGTGCGGGAGCACCCTGGAACCTCAGGAACAGTGCAGCACAAAGTTATTTCCTTAACTTTTCTCATAGAAAAAAGCCCACAACTCATTTTTCTGTTTAGTTTCAGTAAGAGAGTCGATTACTTTGGGTCTAATCAGGCTCCTTTTGTAAACCTGGCTGGTAAAGCAAGATTCAGTTACTTGAAGAGTGTTAATTGGAATACTCAAGAAAATCCTAGGTATGTGCATAAATTCCTCCAGGACTGGGGCTGGATGGGACGGTGCAGGAAGTAGGACTTGCTTCTCCCTCATGCTGTGAACGTGACTGTTTCGTTTCCACATCCGTGTCCTCTTTAGTCACAGCAGGCTTGTGGAGTGGCTGCTGTGAGCAGTGCTGTTGTGTTGATGCACTTGTTTAAATGCTGTTGTAGCCTCTTCGGTAAAGAGCATTAAAGTGATTTGAACGCAGCATCATGAGTGGCCGGTTCTCTCCTGGGTGCTCAGCACTTGGGCACACTGAGGGTCACAACCCACAGAGGAAAAGGCAGCAGAGCAGCAGCTCCCAGCTGGGAGCTGCCTCAGTTACAGGTGGGGCTGGGGGTCATCGCCCCCCACTCCAGTCACATGTGAAGTGCAGCCCATGCAGAGAAGCCTGCTCCAGGTTCCCAAGCCCAAGAGCCTGGTCAAGCCTCAACAGTGCACTGGGCTTGACCCAGACAAAGACACACCCGAGCATCACACATACAATGAATGATCTCCATTGCTATCAGTGTGAGCTGATCCTCAGATAGGTTGTGCTTGTCCTCAGCCTCCTCCAGGGCTGTAGGAAGAGACACTGATGCACCCAGCACTAAGTCACTAGTAAATACCAAACAAAACATCCTCCTGTGGGGCAACTATGATTGTGAGGATGGGTTGAACAAACGTGACCTGTGGGATATCACTAATACACCACCACACAACACAGCTGCACCAACAGCAAAGCAAAACAGGTTTGCCAAAACCTTAAATTGTGACTTTTAAGTGCAGTGAGCAGGAACAGGATTAGAGAAAGATTAACCCTGGGTAAACTTGGCTGTTGTAACCCCTACCTTATAAATAAACTATCAGGCATGCAAAGAAACCCAACAGCAAACCCAACCTGAATCCTCCCAAGTGACCAAAACAGAACTTGGCCACCACGCAGCAATGTCAAGACTGGGCCATGCCTGTGAGCAGCACCTCTGGGTGCCCCTGTCCCAGCAGCGCCCTCCACATCCCCATCACCCTGGGCTCACTGACCAGCCCTGGCTGGAGGAGCTGGTGCTGTTGCCAGTGCCGGGACATAAACCTGGGTTTGGATTTCCATCTCCTCCTTCTCAGCTGAACTTCCATCACTCAGATGCAATTCCACATAATCTGTAGGAAGAGTAAAAGTCCTTCCTTGGCTCTCCTGGTGCATTAAAGCAGCAGAGTGCATCCCTCACCAGCACAAGGGTGGATTTAGAGCATTTGTGTGCCACTGCACCGACAGCTGGACGTGAGAATTACTCCACGTGAGTTCAAGGCTCACAGCACTGGGACTCTTCCTATACTCCTGTCTGTCTGCTAGCAACGCCACTGATTGCTCCAGCAAAGCCCTACAGGTTTGCAGCTGAAGCAAGCACAAGGAGACAAGGAAAGGGAAAGGGAGAGGAGAGGGGAAAACGCAGGATCAAACTGCACACACAAAACAATTTCTCTTTTTATTATGAAAAGAAACCGAATGCCCAGGACCAGGGTCCGTGATCACCAGTAACATCACAGATTACTTTCTAACTCTTCCTTTTAAATTCTGTCGTGTTTGAGGCCAGCAATTTGCAATGAACAAGCTAAAACTACTTACATTGACTCATTTCTCCTCAGTAACTGACATTTACAGGAATATACTAGAAATGGCACTAAAAAGGCTTAAGAAAAAGTTACGGTAAACTCGCATGCACATCATACAGAAAAGTAACATTCTTTTAAATATTAAAAAAACAAAACCCAAAAAATACACCAACAGATCTGTCTGCGTTGGTTCCGTCAGGACCAGGGGAGTTCCCAGCGGCCTGTGCCAAATCCCGTGCTGGTGGTTTGGTTAGTTCTAAAAATGACAGTTACAAAGAGCTGCAAATACCAGTTGTTAAAAAAGCATCTGGTTGTTCACAAGCAAGAGGATGCTGCAATGGGATGAACCCATCCCCAGCAGCACAGAGCCTGCCCAGTCAGCCCCAGGGAACCGCTCCGTGCGAGAGCAGGTCTCTTTAAAACCCAGGATTACAACAAAGGTGGTGGGGTTTGCGTCATGCCCGATCCCTTCCCCCAGCTCCAACCCCAACTGTAAAAAACATCATTCCTTTCAAAACAAGGAAAAACCTAAAAACTGGTCCGAAAGTCCCCGAAACAGAGAAAGAGCTAGGTTAGGTGGCTGCAGTCTGCTTCTACCACATGGAGAACATGGAAAGAGACCTCACAGGGGAACTAATGTGCACACGTACACGCAGACTCGCTCAGGTATGCGCGCGGCTATCACACACACAGGTTACACAGTCCTGAAGCGTCGGCTCCACAGTTACAAACCCTGTCGGTAGGAAAGTTTAAAATCACATCGATACAAAAGGAAATGCTTTTGTACAGACATTTGGTTCGCAGGAAGCTGCTGTACCCAACAGATCCCTCGAGTAGCTCCCACTGCCCTCCTGAGCCCACGGCTGATGAACAGCGAGAAACAGGCTGAGCTTATAATCAGATGGAGTCTACAGAGCTTCCAAGGCGCAGGGATGCTGGTTCATAAGAGGTCTGGTCAGAACAGGAGTTTCTCAGAAAAAAAGTTTCAATAAAACTACTTGTGTGTATGCATATACCTGAAATCAGACTGATTTCAGTGGAGCTTCCCCTGGAAAACAAAGTTAAACTTTGCTCCTTCAAGCAAAATTCTGCCATAAAAATCTCATTTTCTTTATTAAGTTTTAAAAAAACCCTGTTATTTTCAAACATTTTATGTTTGATCGTTTTAAAGTTCTCATGACACCTGCACTGCCAGGTCATGCAACACGAACTCAGTTAAATAAATGCTCTATGGTTTCAATTTCCAACTCATTAAGGGCAGCTGCTACTTACTATGGACTGAAAACAGCTCTTCTTTCCTGGAGACACTCTGCTCTGCAGGTACAAGAGGCACCACTACTGACATGGCAGGAGAGAACCAGCACTACAAACAACACGAAAATAAAGAGTGTAAGAACGACATTTGGAAATGGGGAGTCACCAACTTCTTTCCTGAAATGAAGGTCATGGTAACATGGATTTCTCCTGTGAATTGCCGTCCCGTAGGGAACACCTTACTTGCCATGAAAACACGCAGTTTCCCACTAACTGGAAGCTCAAGTTGCAGCAGGTTTATGAGATGCACAGGTTGTTCTTCATGCTCCTCAGTGGCTCTCATTGCTTGTTCTCCTTGCAAAGCCCCAAGCCAGGGCAGGTTTGCCAAGTACAATGGGATCCTCCTCCAGCGCTGCAGGGCCCTTTCCATCACTTTGTGCTTGGTCCCCAGCCCTTTGGCTCCAGCCTTCCCACGGATTGCGGTGGGACAGAGGAAGGTGTGTCCCTGGTGCAGTCAGTTTGGAGCAGCGATGGTGGCACCCTGCAGAGCCAGTCCCTGGGCTCTGCGTGGTGGTGATGCTGGTGGCTGCAGCTGGTGCTGCCTACAGCACTGCCTGGGCTTTGTTCTCCCACCACAGCCCAGCAGCAGCACGGCTCCAGGCACTGCGCTCAAGGAAAGGTTTCAAGCAGGGAAAGCTGGGAGCTTGTTTATCCAAGTTGCCATGGTACTGAAGTGGCTGCAATTATCTTAATTAAAACACTAGTTGGTTTTGCTAATGCAAGTCTCAGACAATAGGAGAAACACAGATGAAACCCAACCTATTAAACCCCCCAAGCTCTTCATTAGGTGGATAGTACATTTCCTCAGAGGA